ATGGATGGATGGATATTAATGTTAACTAAGAAAAGATGTTCATCATTTGACACAGGCATTTGTTACTGTGAAGAATTAACATGTCAATGCGGTGGTCATGTGCTGACTTGTGTGTCTGGTGCAAACTGCCTTTAAGTATTTCTTCAGGTGTTCCCCTATGACTTCAACCTGAGCCAGGTGAATGTCCTCTCTGCAGTGAATGCTTTTGGCCAATCAAAGAGGCAACTGATTTTCAGTAATGGTTAAACATTTTCTGTGCTTTTACCAGGAGGTCTATGAAAGTTTGCATGGACAATGCATATTATTACATGTTATTACATATTACAGCTATGTTGTTTAGCAGGTACATTCTGTTCTGGGGTAAAAAGGTAGTGGGTCTGCTGAAGATAAAGAAGCACATAATTATGCAAACTAAATATTTTTCCACGTGGACACAGAGGACAGCCATGTAACAACGACACTGATCACTGTCACCGTTTGTATATTCTGCATCTGTACACAACTCCAGCAATCCCAAGAACTGTCACACATATGAGACAAGAACATGACGGTTAGCACTGTTGCCTCACAGCAAGAAGGTTCCGGGGTCAAGCCTTGGCCAACCTGGCGCCTTTCTATGTGGAGTTTGCATGTTCTCCCTGTGCATACGTGGGTTCTCTCCCGGTACTCCAGCTTCCTCCCACAGTCCAAATACATGCAGCTTAGGTTGATTGGTGACTCTAAATTGCCCATAGGAGTGAGTGTGTGTGAGTATGTGTGGTTGTTTGTCCACATGTCAGCCCTGTGATAGACTGGAGACCTATTCAGGGTGTTATCCCACCTCTCGCCCAATATCAGCTGGGATTGGCTCCAGGCCCCCCATGACCCTATTCAGGAATAAGCGGTATAGATAATGGATGGATGGATGATGTCTGCTGTAGTAAGTTTGCAATGTTTTTTTTAATTTTCTAAACAATAGAGACCGACTTTTCAGATGCCTAAAAACTTGTCTGTATACATCTCCACTTACAAAAAAGTGGAATATGCAGCCTCAAGTTACCATACACAAATCTTAATAATAGAAATATACACACCGTATCACTAATATTGTACCTTAGTGGGTTTGCTGATGCTCTTTTCTGCAGGGGGCTGATGAACTGGCTGCCTGCGGGGGGCACGGTCCTTGGCCTCACAGTTTAATAGGAACTTCTCAAACAGGTTGGTGGAGCCTGTAGCATCCTTCTGTCCCAATACCTCATCTTTAGCCACTTCCTCCTCTTTAGCCTTGGTGCTGCTAGCTGCTGTGATGGAGGATGAGGAGGATGATGAGGATGTGGAGGAAGACGGAACTTTGGGTGGTGCTGAGGTGCCCTCCTGGCCTTTACTCTTAGCCTTCTTATGTAAGGTTGAGCTATCACTGGAGTCTGAGTGTGGGGCAGCCTCCTCCTTAGAGGCTGCTCTCTTTCTGGGTGGCATCTGACCTTTTGCCCTTTTTGTCATGGACAAGGTCCTTAATGCCTAGCAGCTTTACTTCCCACTTCCCTTTCTTTTGTTTGAACTTGTCATCCAAACGTGCCTTTTCAGCCAACTTTGTTACAGTCTCTGTAAATGTAGTATCATCTGTGTGAAACTCTGACAGGCTTTCACTCAGGTCATCCTCCAGAGGTGCTGTGGCCTCATCGTCAGAGGTTTCAATCTTTCGTTCCTTCTTCCCCTTCTTTTTCTTCCCTTCTTCTCCCTTCTCTTTCTTATGCTTTCCTCCATCTTTTCCCTTTTCCTTCTTGTGTTTTTTGGAGGGAAGAGGCTCGTCATCCTCATCTTCAGAGTCAACCAGTCGCTTTTTGGATTCAGTCTTTTTCTCCTTGGGAGGAGAGGGTGAAGTCAGGGCTCTCTCTTCCTCTTCTTCTTCTTCATCATCTGTCTCTGGTGCAGGTAGAGGCCTGATGTCATCCTTCCGTTTGTCTTTTTTCTTCTTCTTCTTTTTGTCCTTTGGAGGTGGTTCCTCTTCTACTTCCTGGATCTTTTTCTTTTTCTTCTTCTTTATGGGTGGCTCAGTTGGACGGTCTTTCTCGCTGTCACTCTCTGAGTCAGCATCAAAGACATCACTCTTTGTTGGCAGCAGTTTCTAAAAGGAGAATGGGACAGGCAAAGTTACATTTTAAGTTTAGATATTGTTTTGGCTTTCTAGCTTATCTTAATTCTCTGTGGAAACAAAATATTGCATCAGTCATAATTCAGGGCAGAGAACACTGACCACTATAGACTGAATTACTTAAATCTCAGCAGTTTCAATAGGAATTCCAAATTATTGATTTTATTCCTATCCAAAGACGCAATGACTGTGATATTTTGTAATAACCTCACAAGGTAAAGCGTTATCACTGAGGTAATTCATTTAGAATCTGTAAAGCTTGCTCATTCCAACCACTAGCAAAATAAACAACATCTTTTTCAGTAAATCTGTAAAAATCTACAGATGATTTATTTTGGACTACAATCTTGTATGTACTGCACTTAAGGATGTAAACAATCTATAGCTCACTCCTATTTTTACACTGTGTTTTTATTCATCTGTGATCAAGTGTGAATGTTGCTTTGCTTTGGTGAATACAGTATCAGTAGTATTCTGTATGCCTGACTTACCACACTCTTCTTGGTTTCAGCTTCTTTCCTGATTTTAGCATCAGCTAAGGATTTCTTGAAAGCTAAGAGGACTTCGCCACAGTCCTCTAAATGGGCCTCTGGCTCCCACGTGTCATCATCAGAGCAGTAATTCTTCCAGCGAACTCTGTAGAGCACTTCGCCCTGAAAACAGAGACAGTGGATATGAAGCTCAAGCATCACTACCAGGCTAGCAGGACACAGTGGCTAGTATCTGTCAGAATTAGTACCGACTGTTTAAACAGCCAAAACAATACGTAGAGCAATGCAAAATGTCCAGATGGTGTGTAGCAGCATGCAAACAATGACAAATAAAATGATTAATTATAGCATTTTGAATTGTGGACTATTTTCTTTGATTCATTGGCTGTGTTCATTGCAGATGATACCATCTACAAAATTACAAGAGTTTACTGGGGACAACAAGCTGCAGTAGCAAATGGCTGTAAAAATGTAAACATCCACATGTAGAACAGCTGCAAGGCAACATCAACATCTGCACACTGAAGATAGACACAGCATGTCTATATCAGCTTGATTTCCACAACAGCCGAGACTGAGCCATTTTGTTTAAGACCATAAAATAGAGTTCATAAGATTAAGCACAGACATAAGGAGGGTGAAACAATGTTGGAGAAAAGAATGGTGAAATGACACGGCTTTTACTGTAAAGAAATCAGAGGAAGCCTTGAGTTATTGTGGCTTTTCACAAATACTTGGTCTAAATCTGAAAAAAGTAAAAACCCACACAAAACTAATTGCTGTGAATGAGTCCTGCAGTTTGGGCTGATATGAAATCACACATAATAGAATCAAGGTATTTAATTTAAATAACGTTTATGGGCTTAAAGATGAGATGTCATACAACCAATTGAATGTGGCTATCTAGGCAACAACTGCACACAGTCTAGTTAATAAATCTTTATGTTCCATGTTTGTACAGAAACAAAAACAGGAATAACTACAACCGTGACACAACAAGCACCAACAGAAGAGACTTTCTATAATAAAGCCCATAGTGCAGTTGTCACAATGATTACATCCGGCTTAGGTCTGACTTTAGATATTAATCGATTCAATGTTTTGACATGCATTTGCATTAGGCGGCTGTTTTAAAAATAACTTACTCGTCAGCTGTGGAAAGTTACAGTTCTGATTTTTACAGGAAAATCAATAGAGATTTGTTCAGTTGGATACAGCCTTGCACAACATTGACTTGTGCCCTCTCCTTTCTGTTTCTCCCCACCAAAACTCAGTGGTGGACGAAGTTCAAACAACAGCATCCCTAATACACACAAAAGCTCTCTGCCCATAATCACTCACATCAAGGGCTAGTTAATGTTTAAATGTGAAAATGTTGCACCATCTTTTGATAAAGAACAACTCTACACAAAATGGTAGGGATCACAACTAGTGTACAAAATACCTAAATTAAAAACCCAGCAGTTAGAAAGAAGCTGTTGTTAACAGTGTTATCACCCACAATTATCAGCAAGGTGGAAACATATAGTCTTAGTACTGATTTCAATCTGTTAATAAAATTTCAATATAGCTTAATTTCATGTGGTTTTGATCTGTCGGTGTTTAGACAGTCTTGATATAAAGTAAAGAGCTAATACTTAGGACAAGTAGGGACTATATTTATTTGTATTTATTCAAATAAATATTACTTTAGTGAATGTTGTAACATACTTATCCAACATGTTAGATTTTCCCTTGAACCTTGAAATGTAGTAGTAAGAAGTAAAATAAAGTAGCGGATTAAAACGTTAGTAGTAGTTTACATTACTGTGATCTTATAAAGACAACGTAATTTAAGGAAAATGCTAGTATAAGTGGAAATAAAGGGCTCAATTCTGGCCTTAGTTAACAATTGTCATGTAAATGTGCAGAAAAGTGTACAACAGGTTAGCTGATGCTAAAATTATGCTAAAGATGATAACGTAACATTAGCAGGTGATAGCAAACCCGCATTGGGGATAACGTTAACTGGCCGTGTTTACCATGCAATCTGTTTTATGGCCAACGAGGCCAGCGTTATTGCCGGTCTGATCAAGCTATAGCAACGGGCAAAAGCAAGCATGATGAAAAATTTGCAAGCTTGCAAAGCAACCGTCCTTGGCCTCATCAGGGAAGAGGCGAGCGGACATCATGGGAGAAGTTGTGAAGAAAAACGGTGATATGTATGGACAAGCAGTGAGCCACGACAAAAGAGTAATCACGTATGGCTAAGTGACAAAAGAACAGTTGTATGCATCAAAATGCATCCAAAATACAGTATAATCAACGTTGTATTGACAGAAAGTGTGCGGGCATCGCTGTTGGTAGGCGTCGTGAGAGTGGAGTGAAAGGCCAAGTTAGCCAGACGGCTCCTTTAGCATTTAGCTAACATTACCTCTTCCACCCGCATGTCAATGATCCTCTCCACTTCGTATACATCTTCTTCTTCGTCTTGTTCGCTGTCCGCCGGCTCTACCTTTTCGGTCTCAGCCGCCATGGCTGCGGTCGATGCTGGTTTGCTACTATTTAACTATTTTTGATCCAGCACTCGTAGAGGCCGCGCTGGCTGAGTATACAGAGGAGGTAGCGTACCTGTCGAGGTCTGCAGTTTAGGGTTGTATCGAGCGCAGACCAGTTACCGCCTGCTCTTACGACGCTGCATTCAAACACTGCTCCAAATCTCAGAATCTACTCGTTCTAAATTGCATTTATGACACCCACTTATTCCACATTGTTTTTGTCAAAGCGTATACGCCGGAAAAAAAGATTTGTGCCCGGGGAAACGCAGCATTAATAGTTGTAGGTGAAAGAACGCATAAACACGCGATACTAAGCATTTATATGCGGTAAATACTGATAAAATCCTCAAACCATCTGTGTCTAACATGGGTTTTGTGTCTTTTTGATAAGTTTCGCCTGAAGAAGCGTCTTGCCTGCATGGCCTTTAAAAACGACAACCATCTTCCGACGTGTTGCTTCTATTCCCACTCGAATTTGTCTTTTCAAACGTTGAACTCTAAAATTCCGGTGTTTCCTAAAGGCAGCCTGGATTTTACGGGCAAACATTTGGGAGCAATGAAAACATGGTGGACACAAAACCATAAGACGGACCATCAGGGCAAGTCAAGGGGTAGGCCTACATTAGTAACGTACACGTCACACATAGGCTACTGTACTGTTTAAACACACAAAACTTAAAATCATCAGTTTTTTATACAGATGTGACAAACGACTTAACAGAAAAAGAAATACAGCGCATTTAAAATATATCTCAACATATTCAAATATAAGGAAATGCATAATTTGAACTCGTATGAATTAAACGTGGCAGCATTGGCTAGTGCTGGCAGTTTCAACAAATCCTCAAATTTAAAAAAGAGAGCAAATTGTAGTGTATCATGATTTAATTTCCTAACACTGAACAGATAAATCATTTGTTTACTATGCAATGGACCCAATACAAAAAGCACTCACATTACATATGATCAGGTGAATTTATTTTAACATATCAAAATGTATACAACAATAGTTAGTAACAGTTTAGTACAACTCCACAACAGTGCTGCAGTTGCTGCTTCTCTAGTGCTCAACAGCAAAAGAATAATTTAAGATTTCCTCTTTATGACCAGCTTCATGTGGCTCTTAAGAAGAACTAATGACCATCAAGTACCAACATCACCACTAGAACAACAGATCTGGATGTATGAAGTTACAGATCAACTTAAAATAAACATGTTAAACAGAATATGTCCGAGTGGTCACAGCTAACGGCAGTTCAGAAATTATAAACAGTTAATAGAAAAGGAAAACTTGGAACAATGTTAAGGTACATTAAGTCCAATAACATTTTGTAAAGCTGCTGGGATGCAGATGAAAAAACACTACTTGATTAAAAGTGAAAAAAGGTCAGGCAGCACAAAGAAACCTCTCATTACACGGTAGAAAATAAACTCTTAGATGTATTTAACTTATTAGGCTATTTCAAGGCTTTTCAGATTACCCTGCATTTTGAAGTTGTGTATGAGCAGCTGAGTGGTGCTGTAGCTTTGGGTTTTACAGTGTGGTACCACATCCTCAGACACCAAAAATGATTTTGAGATCAGCCAGGGAGAGTTTGGTGAGGGCGTATTCTGTTCCTGACAGCACGTTCTGGGCCAGCTCCTTCTTCTTCAACTGTAGTATGGAAATCTTCTCCTCCACTGTGTTTTCACACACAAACCTGGAAACACATACAAACAAAAACAAAACTGTTCAACACACATACACCAAATTATCATACACAAATGTAAAACATGGCAAACCACAGCCTCCAGTAACATGAACTAAGAATGAAGATGCATACAAATCAAATTTGGTAAAGTTTCTATAGCAGTTATTTATTAACCATTTCACTCAGAACTATCCTAAATGTTTTTCTGTGAATCAACAGATTGGTTTGTCCTGCCTCTATGACATGGACATTTGAATTTGATTTTCGTTTTAGGCAACGTTAACTGTATTTCAGTATTGTTGTCTTACCCACACACACACACACACACTTTTGTCACATAGCAGGTCCTCACAGTGACTTGCATTAGTTTCCTGGAGGCTTACCCTAATCTTAAATGAAATAGGCCCCCAGAAGTTCAACAATTTACTTTGTGGTTAACAGCATCCAGTACCCATGAGGAAGGCATGTCCCCACAGTGTTAGGGAGCTCCTGGTTTTGGGCCCCCACAAGTATAGAAAAACAACACACACACACACACACACACACACACACACACACACACCAAATGTCCTGCTGATTTAGCTACCTACCTGTGGATGGTGACATTTTTACTTTGTCCAACCCTGTAGATACGGTCACAGGCCTGATCTTCTAAGGCTGGGTTCCTGTCAGAATATTCAGCAGTCAGAAGTGAAAAACTTAACTACTGTTATATTGAGCACATCCAAGATTGTCTTACAGTGGGGCAAATAAGTATTTGATACAATAGAAAAATAGAACTTTATATTTGGTACTAAAACCTTTTGTTTACAATTACAGAGGTCAGACGTTTCCTGTAGTTCTTGACCAGCTCTTCACACACTGCAGCAGGGATTTTGGCCCACTCCTCCATACAGGTCTTCTCCAGATCTTTCAGGTTTTGGGGCTGTCGCTGGGCAACATGGAGTTTCAGCTCCCTCCATAGATTTTCTATTGGGTTCAGGTCTGGAGACTGGCTAGGCCACTCCAGGACCTTGAAATGCTTCTTACAGAGCCACTCCTTAGTTGCCCTGGCTGTGTGTTTGGGGTCATTGTCATGCTGGAAGACCCAGCCACGACCCATCTTCAATGCTCTTACTGAGGGAAGGAGGTTGTTGCCCAAAATCTCGCGATACATGGCCCCATCCATCCTTTCCTCAATACGGTGCAGTCGTCCTGTCCCCGTTGCAGAAAAGCACCCCCAAAGCATGATGTTTCCACCCCCATGCTTCATGGTTGGGATGGTGTTCTTGGGATTGTACTCATCCTTCTTCGTCCTCCAAACATGGCGAGTGGAGTTTATACCAAAAAGTTCTATTTTGGTCTCATCTGACCACATGACCTTCTCCCATGCCTCCTCTAGATCATCCAGATGGTCTTTGGCAGACTTCAGACGGGCCTGGACATGTGCTGGCTTGAGCAGAGGGACTTGGCGTGCGCTGCAGGATTTTAACCCATGACGGTGTAGTGTGTTACTAATGGTAACCGTGGAGACTGCGGTCCCAGCTCTCTTCAGGTCATTGACCAGGTCCTCCCGTGTAGTTCTAGGCTGATCCCTCACCTTTCTCAGGATCACTGATACTCCACGAGGCGAGATCTTGCATGGAGCCCCAGTCCGAGGGAGATTGACAGTCATCTTGAATTTCTTCCATTTTCTAATAATTGCACCAACAGTCGTTGCCTTCTCACCAAGCTGTTTGCCTGTTGTCCTGTAGCCCATCCCAGCCTTGTGCAGGTCTACAATTTTGTCCCTAGTGTCCTTAGACAGCTCTTTGGTCTTGCCCATAGTGGAGACGTTGGAGTCTGATAGACTGTGTGGACAGGTGTCTTTTATACAGGTAACGAGTTCGAACATGTGCAGTTATAATACAGGCAATGAGTGGAGGACAGGAGGGCTTCTTAAAGACAAACTAACAGGTCTGTGAGAGCCAGAATTCTTGCTGGTTGGTAGGTGATCAAATACTTATTTCATGCAATAAAATGGAAATAAATTATTTAAAAAAGTGATTTTCTAGAATTTTTTTTAAGATTCTGTCTCACAGTTGAGGTGTACCTACGATGAAAATGACAGATCTGTCCATTCTTTGTAAGTGGGGAAACTTGAAAAATCGGCAGTGTATCAAATACTTATTTGCCCCACGGTACTTCATTAGTAGCATTACAATTTACTACAAAACAGCACCATATAGTACTATTATTATTTTATCTACTGACTGTGTGCATATATATAAGTGCACATATTTGTTTGGGAACAAGAAGACCTTTTCACTTCTTAAAGAAATGTATTTTAGAAGTCACATATTTTAATGCTCATTCTTGAATGTTCTGTGGGAATAACAACTGAACCTGAAGCACTGGACGGGGCTGAAGAGACAATTGAAGTGTAAGTGCTGGAAGGATTTCAAGTTTCACTTGAACTGAAAGCACTAAAAACAGGTAAAGCATCACTTGATGTAGAAAAATTGTTTCCAGTGCTTCAAGTGATTTTCAAGTGAAGTTCAGGTCAAATAAAAGCAGTGAGAAGACGTTAAGGCACTTTGAAAACAAAAGCATATAAGGATTCAATAATAACTCAAACTAAAGACACTGTGTGTACAAATGGCTACTTCAGGAAAATGAAGCAAGCACCAACAATGAACACTGCTCTGGTTTTCTGTATGCCTGTGTGTGTGTGTCTCACCAGTGCATGTCAATGAGGAAGAGGTGATTTCCACCAGTGAGATTGAGTCCGACTCCTCCAGCACAAAGAGAAACCAGCATCACCTTTGGCACAGAGCCAGAAATATAAAGCAATAAATATATATATTTACTCACAATATGCTAGAAGTCCAGTGCATTTAGATATGAAAATGGCTTATAAGCAGGCAGCCCGAAAACCTCCTTCAATAACTACATATTTAAATGTTTTGACACATTGTGCTTAGAGACCATATAAATGAGAGCTAAATTCAAACAGTACATAATTCAAGCGCTTGCTCTAATCATGAAAAAGAAAAATTCACATTTGCTGTGAGTGACAACTGACTCCAGTGTTTAAGAACAAATCTTTAACAGCATCACAAAATATTCAAAGTTTGGATTGCTGTTTAGTGTTTACATCTATTAAAAACCTGTTAATATTTTGTAGTAGTAAGTTCTAGTTTTAATGAGTTTTAATTTGGTGCTGAGTTTTAGGATAAGACTGACCTGTGGGCCTTTAAGGTTAGTGTTAAATTCTTCCACCAGGTCCATGCGACGTTTGGGGTTGACAGTCCCATCGATAACTCCATAGCTCAGGCCCATCAGCTTCAGATGAACTGCAACAATGCGGAGCATGCTGGTCCACTGGGACACAATCACACTACACAAGCCCAGAGATACCATGGGGATTACATATATGATGGTAAGATTTATTAATTCTCTTGGATCAACTGCAGTAACAACTTACAGATGTTGGTAATTAAATTAATGCATAGTCTTTTCAAAGATCACGGTGTGTTACCCTATCTGCCTCATGACATAAAAAGCCCTTAAAGTGATAATGAGTATTTGAACATCAGCATTTCCATGAAAACTGGGTGACTCCACCTGCTGGGGAACATTGTATGACACTGTCGAGCGCTCTAGAACAGCTACAGAGTGGATCTTGTGGTGAGACTGGTTTGTCAGCTAGACTGTTACTTTATTTGGAAAATGTTTTCATCTATGAAAGATGTGTTGAATATTTGCTGAAAGAGTAAAAAAAACCTTTGAATATAAGGGCCTGTCGTCTGAGTCTGAGGTAATAGTGAGACTTAATGTTTTACCTTTTCTGATCATTACTCTTCTGTCTGATTGCCTCCAGCTCAGAGAAGATGGCAGAAATCTGGAAAATAGAAACAGAAGAACTAGTTCTACTGGCCATTGTCACATTTGCACCATAGTGTCCCTTGTTTTGTGGGTGCATTCCTGGTCGTTACTATCACTGCTCAGGTGGTTTTATATTTCAAGTTCAAGGTACTCTCAGTGGGAATGAATGCAACATGGGAAATAAAAACACAGATGTGTTCAGGTACACACTAAGGAAGTAAATGGTCTCATATTTGTATAGTGCTTTTTTTATACACTGCAGCACACTCAAAGTGCTTTCACACTATTTGCCCATTCACCCATTTGCACTCCCCGAGCACACGAACACACCAGCAATATCACCAGGAACAACTTGGGGTTCAGTGTCTTGCTCAAGGACACTTTGACATGAGGACTGGAGAAGCCAGGAATCGACCCACCAACTTCTGGTTAGGGGACGACCCGCTCTACCTCCTAAGCCACAGTGTGTTACATATGAGCCTGAATATTTAACATGTTCATTTTACTGCCTTTTTCAGTGTAAACTGTTTAAGGTAGTGTTGTGATATTTTCTAAATCATTTAACATTTCCTCTGGCATAAAGTAGTGTGGCAGCATGGCCACACGCTGCATTGTATTGTAGTTTCTCTTGGAGAATGAGAGGACTAGCAGAAATCTTCTTTTATGCCACATCCTCTGAGGCATGTTCATCTTCAATTACAGCTGAAGCTGCCTCCGTAAAACCCATGTGAGTGGTCGACTCTCCCCACTAACTGCTTTCTCTCATTCAAACGTGAACAGAGAAAGGCTAAAGCTGATGGCATTCAATCCCTTTAAATAGCCCTTGTCCTTTACTGACCCCCACTGGACATTACTAGGAACTACAACAACAGAGATAGAACTTTTGTTCTAAAGCCACTTTGACACCACCTGATACTGGCTTAATTTTCTTTTGGTACCAAGTGCTTTGTTTCCACTACAGCTAGTCCCCCCTCAATGTAGCTGGCTGACCACATGAAACTGCCATGAAGTCACTGGCTCAGGGTGGTGGCAGGGCAGGCTCAAAGCTGTTATAATTTTCATCCTAGGACTGTTATTATGCCATTTTATTAAGTTTTGATAGTTTTTCCAGGTGAAAAAGTAACCATATAGTTTTTAAATATGTGGTCAATCCATCCAAGTAATTCCAGTTACAAATTTGCTCAGATGTTTTTGGAGATTGGGCGACTGTGGGTCAGTCATCTCCCAACCGGAGGGTTGGAGGTTTGAATCACAGTGCCTGCAGTCTACACGTCAAAGTGTCCCTGGGCAAGACACTGAACCCCCAAGTTGCCCCCGATGGTTAGAGCCATCGGTGCGAGTTGGCTGCCTCGGGTTCTGTACCAGAAACAAATTCTTTGTGTGTGTGTGTGTAACATACTTGGCTAAATAAAGGTGATTATCCTTATCCTTATTATTATGTGATGACCCGCTAACGTGCTAGCTAACTAGTTCTACTTGGCAGGAATAGCTGTAGCCATTGTTCTCATATTATCACATTCAGTAACCTATGGGCTATCTGATCAGATATACAATTTGGTAGTTCTCGTAATATAACAGTTATATTATATATTATCTGTCAACATAAATTTTGCCCTCTATAACACTTGTGAGAGAGAAGTGGCAGCTACCATTATGAATGAATGAAGAACGAGTGACTGGTGTCATCACATGTAAACATCTGGGTTCATCTGTGGCAAGAAGATAGTAATGACAAATTATACATTTTTCTGACCAATCGGTAGCCTGCAGGGTTTACACATCACCATGTGGGATTGCCTCAGCTCACTTGGAACCTCAAAGGAGGTGATACCAAAAGTAGCACCAGGTACTATCCCCAACATTTGACTGATTGAAAAACAAATAAGGCAGGTTGAGTGAGCCTGTACCAGGCAGTGGCAAAGGGGCTTAACGGACAAGTCCCTTGCTCCTTTGGTGTTGGTGCCTTCAAGTTAAACACAATGTGGATAGAGAGGACTAGTTATCTTGTTACAGCAAATATAAAATTGCCTACAAAGCAAATCATCACATTCCTGAGCTAAGTGTTTTGTGCTGAGCACAGCTGCCCACCTTGGTGCTCTCAGTGGTGTCTTCAAACAGATGTGAGGGGAAGCGAGTGCCATTAAGGCTCACAGTGTCTTTGGCATCGGGGTCTGATGATGAGGCACTGGAGGAGAGCGACAGAGCGTTAAGCTGCTCCTCTAGAGACAAGACAATCCCATCACCCTGCAGCTCTGACGAGTCAAGAGTCTGAGCAGAGAGGGGAAGGCAGAAAGAAGGAAATAAATGTTTATGTGCATTACAGTTGGTCTTTTTCAAAGAAGGACAGAAAGCCTTAGCAGAGCAGCAGAGTGTGTGTATATGTGCCTTCTTAAGGAGGGACAGGTGACAGCAGCACTGTCGTAGACGCAGCAACAGGGACAGGATGTGGACGGTGCTGGAAGCCTGCTGGGATTGCTGGGAGCCTGACACAGCTGGATGAGCATGGGATATACCAAACTCTTGGGCCACTGGAGGGAGAAGACAGACATACACTTTCAATGCACCTTCATTAGAAATAGCATCACTGATTATTAACCAAGTTTCATGTACAAGGGAATATTGTCAGGCTTGAATTAGCCCAAGTGGAAAATTCTCATTACCTTTTTTTTTAACTTATCTACACGTCATTTTACACACAGCAGCTTTCTAAAAACATTTTAAAAGACAACAACATTATAGTATATACAAACTAGAATTACCGCATTGCAGTTCTGTGCCTCCACTAACCAGTCAAATTCATGGAAATGGGACAGATGTGAGGTCACTGACCTTTGACTACCAAAATCTAATCAGTCCATCCTTGAATTCAAGTGAGCACTTGTCAAGGTCAAAGTGTTTGTCATATGCACAGTTAGGAAATGTGTTTCCCTGTACATCTTACTTTGCTGTCCACATGAATGCCACAAAAATACAAATGAAATATAAAGTAGATAAATAAGTAAAACAGGTGGCCTTGTTGGGCTGGTAGGCATACTGCAGGGGGTCCAGGGTGTCCGGTATACTGCTCTGAATGTGGGCCAGCACCACTCTCTCAAAACACTTCATAATGATTGGGGTGAGTCCCACTGGCCTGTAGTCGTTCAGGCAGGTGACCGGACTTTTCTTGGGAAGGGGGACGATGGTTGTGGTCTTAAAGCAGGTGGGGACGATGCTCTGGCTGAGGGAGAGGTTGAAGATGGTGGTGAGAACATTAGCCAGCTCACTGGTACATGCCCTGAGAGCCCTCCCAGGGATGTTGTCTGGTCCTGCTCCTTTGCGGGGGTTGATCTTCCTCAGGACTGTGTGTACCTGGCCTGGTGAGGTAGTTATTGGAGGGGAGGTGGGGGGCTGGGTGGTGTGTGTGTGCCTCCTCTCTGTGCTGTGGCTGGAGGTCTCAAAGCGGGTGTAGAAGGTGTTGAGGTCATCCGGCAGGCTGTCTGTGGAGCTGATGATGCTGGTGTTGGTCCTGTAGTCTGTGATGTGCTGCAGGCCTTGCCACATCCGTCTGGAGTCAGCAGTAGAATAAAAGCCATTCAGCTTCTCTCTGTACTGCCTCTTGGCCACTGTGATGGCTTTCCTCAGTCTGTACTTTGCAGCTTTGTACTTCGTCTTATCACCTGATCTGAATGCATGATAGCGAGCACGCAGCATGTGGCGTACCTGACTGTTTATCCAGGGTTTCTGGTTGGGGAACCTCCTGACTTGTATGGTGGGCACAATGTTGTCAGGGGTCCAGAGTTTAATTTGTTTGGTGACAGGGTTTGTTTGTTTCAGTCTTTGTCTGTAAGCTGGATACAGGAACAAAGAAATGTGGTCCGAGCGTCCAAGGTGGGGGCGGGGTGCAGCCCTGTATGCACCATGTATGTTACTGTAAACATGATCCAGAGTGTTCTTGCCCCGAGTGGGAGTGTTCACATGTTGGTAATATTTGGGGAGTACAGTCTTTAAATTGCACTGGTTAAAGTCACAGCGATAAATACAGCATCGGGGTGAGCTGTCTCTAGCGCGTTGATGGTATCATAAAGTTTGCTGAGAGCCGCAGAGGGATTAGCTCTTGGGCTAATGTACACAGCAGCTAAAAACACAGCACTATGCTCTCTGGCTAGATAGTAGGGCCGGTATTTCAACAATAAAAACTAAACGTCTGGGAAACAGTGCTTATAAACAGTCCGTATATCGCCACACCATGAGTTATTAATAAACACACACACGCCAAATTTGAAGAAATTCCCTCAAGGTGTTTCTGACATATTGCATTCACAAGAATAGGACGTAGTGACAGACAGACAGACAACCAGAAAACATAATAGCACTTCAAAGTATCAAACGGTGTCATCTCATTGAGACACAAATATAAATCCATATCACAGTCACACCTGTCACAATAGCTGGGAGAGTATTTACAACATAATGCCTGTTCAGGACTATGGTATCACACCTTTGTCAAAGGGATTGGAACTGGAAGCATTTCCCCGGTTCACATCTTTTTCTTCATGTTTCTTCAGGTAGTTCTGCAGAGTAGATCTAGAGGAAAAGAGCAAATCATCATTCAAATGTCATTTTATATTTTTCTTGTGTCTAAGAAGACTTAACTGCATCTCAAGCTGTTTTTATGCAGTTACACATATTTATCAAGGACATGCCATAAGTGTCCTTGATGAAAACCAGTGTGGATTAAAGTTGCAAAGTAATTCTTTCCCAGCTTAGATGTAGCCAGCTGGCCTAAAGAAGTGAGGGCCACAGTGATTAGAGGTAAATGTGGAAAAGTTATTTCCCTTTTTTCTCTCCTAGCCAGTCTTCCATGGCATTACATACAAACAGCCTGAAGTAAGGAAAATGTCCTTAAAATAGCTAACATAGTCAGGAAAAGGCAAACATTACTAAGAGAATCTGAACTGCATAACTGTTTATTTCTAAACATCCAAATCATGTGCTGTGTTTTAAATATTAATGAAACCCTTGTTTGGTCCATCGTTTCATTAACCTGAAGGACTTCTCAGGAACACAGTACTGTCTCCTGTCCTTGAAAAGGAAAGGAAGCAGTTACTTGTAATTCCTTAGCACCCTAATAGCCAGACAACAACAAAGTGAACACAACATAAAAGCCTAGAAAATTATAAAAAATTTTTTTGATTGATAGGGACATCTGGACTACCTTGCTGAACCTGTTGCCATGGCGACACGATCTCAGATAAGCGGAAGAAAATGGATGTATGGATGGATCTTGACTTAAAAATGAAAAGACAAGCTGCTGTGTTACCTGGATCGGGTAAAGACCATATCGTAGACAGCCTGCTCATCCACTGACAGTTTCAGTTGATGCACGAAGCAGGTTCGATCAGGAAGAAGCACCTAAAACATTAACATTTCACTTCAGTTATGATCAAGATTGAGTTTGTCCTGATGTTCGAGTCTAGTACCTAGATAACAAGCAGATACTGATGAAATCAAAGACAAAAGGCTGTGGCCTTCATAATGAGTGCACTCAACAGACTATTCCCATAAAGACAGAAGTCCAAAGTGTGTGTCTGTACCAGTGGTTTTCCCTTGGAGTCCAGTTGGTCTTTGGTTCGTCGGAGCAGCAGACTCTTTGTCAGGATGTTGAGTCTCTCTCTGCCTCTCGTAGAGCAGTTATCTACCTGAGCTTTCCACAGTTTATACTCATCGAATGGAGAACAACGTAGAAACCTGAAACACAGACAGAGATGGGACGGAGAATGAAAATCTCAGCCCAAATAACCATCTGACTGTAATGAAGATGTAGTTAAGGTAGTGGTTTCTAAAACCACTTCAGGAACAAAATAGTCTTCAGTGCATTATCAAGGGAAAAGAATCATTTCACTCATCAATATTTCTTTGTTAAATATGAACTCATAATAAGCCTACAGGGCGTTAATAGTGTGGGTCAAATATTTCTCAAGTTGAGACATTTTTCTCCAATTGATCATTTTGTTACTGCCACCAATAATGTTTTTGAGTTGTTTCTTTGACAATTGACAAATTATATGAACATTTCTTTGCATCTTTAACCTGCTTTTATACTTTATTCCAGTATTGCTTAACTTTTTTTTTTTTTACAGTGAACTACACACTATAGTGCATTTTACATAAACAAAATCTGATTTATAAATCACACAGTAAAAAAAACTTCCTGTAATCATTCAAACTTTCTACAGAATACTTTAAGGTGAATAAAAAGAGCTAAACACAAAGTTTTAAAGTAAAATGCTAAACACACCAGTCTCACTGGAAATAAAGTGCCTCCAGTTGAGAATCCTATATGACCAGCATGCAGACAAGTCAGAGGAAGCATTTTACCATAGACTTTTAAACCTCTTGTATTCATTGTGTTTTCATCTTACCTCAGCAGTGCGTACATGTCCAGCAGGTTGTTCTGGATTGGTGTACCAGTGACTGCCCAGCGGGCATGAGCCCTTAGCTGACACACAGCCATGGATGTCTGCACTTTGGGGTTTTTGATGTTGTGGGCTTCATCAAGAATCACACGAGCCCAGGCCACTTGCTGAAGAGGACTTAAGCAAGTAGGCTGACGAAACATGACAAGCAGTGAAGTGTGTGTGTCTCACTGTTCGGTTTCAGTGCCAATGATTATTGTTCTCTGGACCACACAGTATGTCTTTATTCACGTCTTACAGGCAAAATTGTAAGAAACTGATTACTGCTGTAGTTAAAACCTTACATCATGACCATATGTGCTGTAGTTAAAACTTTACATCATGACCATATGTGCTGCAGTTAAAACTTTACATCATGACCATATGTGCTGCAGTTAAAACTTTACATCATGACCACATGTGCTGCAGTTAAAACCTTACATCATGACCACATGTGCTGTAGTTAAAACTTTACATCATGACCACATGTGCTGTAGTTAAAACTTTACATCATGAACATATGTTGCTCACCACATCATGAGCATCTGTGCTGGGTGTCTCAGCGTCTTCCTTCTGGACTGGAATCTCCTTAGAGACCAAACTGTATGTGGTCACCACCACATCATATCCTGCCAGCCTGAGCAACAGAGACAGAAGACTCTATTCAGTCTGACTTCAAATGTCCTCTAAGATGAAAGGATGTCAGGCCACCAAAAATCCCAGATGCCTTCATGACAGTCTCTCTATATATAATTATTCACAGAATTCTGATACACAAGTATGATAATGATCAAACTTCTTCAGCACATACAAATTCACACAAGCTGTTGTCTAAGCGTTATAAGTTGAACTGAGTTCAGTTTTAGACCATGAAAGTAACTGCCAATTAGGACTGGGCAACTGTTTACAATCAACATTTCATGTCAATCATATTGTGATGAAAATACAGTGTTTTCCAAAATCCTGTAGTTAATAACTTTAACATTTCAAGACAAGTGGAGTGTGAATGTGTCCAAGGTTCCCTTACACTCTAGCACTTTTCTCTCGCCTGGGGCCGTGGTACAGGTACACAGTCAGCCTGCCTCTTTTAACATGTCTCTCAATCTCCTTCTTCCAGTGGTGGATCAGGGAGGCAGGGCAGATGATCAGAGTGCCTTTAGATGTCACAATTCTGGAGTCTGGAAGAAAAACAGGTATAATGTAATTTAAATACTGTCTGCACTGTTACCACGCTGTATTCTATCATAATAACTGAAACAGTGACAGGGTTCTAGTTACCAGTTTTGGAGATCCATTTCTCGAGTTGCTTCTCCTCCTCCTTTTCATCTTCTTCTTTTCCCTTGAACTTCTGGGTCAGTATGAGAGAAATCATTGTCAGGGTTTTGCCCAGACCCATGTCATCCGCTGAGTCCAAAAAGAGTCAAAGTGAGGAGATCAAGAAGAAGAAGAAACAAAGAAATAACAATTATATTGTCAAGCTTCATTGACATCTCGTAAAGAAGTTCTGTTCAATGAAGGTAAATGACATTTGATTCACATTACATTTTAAAAAATAGCCATAGTTCTTTTCAGAAAGTGTTTTCTGATTACTGAAGACAGGGGGACGTGTGGTAAGTATCAACAGTTGAATGAATCTGAATGAACCACTGATAGTTATCAACAATACATTTATGGATATCTGCAATTTTACTGTTTCTAATTGTACATATATGGAATTGCATGTTTACTAGTCATAATGTATTCTGGATATTCAAAATTATATTAGGAAATTATATCGGGAACTTTTCATTTTAAATATATGAAATTAAGACTAGTAAAAATTCTATTGTGCATATCCCTAATGTTCAAAAATAATGTTGTGAATATCTGAAATTGAACACCCAATACACCTGAATGGCAAAAGTGATGTCTTTCATCCCAGGAAGAATTACATTGTGGATATCTGAAATGGCCTTTTTGACAGATATCTGCAATACACATCCAGCCTAGTGATTAAATGTTAAAACGGCTTGCCATACATACCCAGAATTCCTCCACAGGGTGTCTGGGTTTCTCTCCAGAGCAGCCAGACCAAAGCACTCCTCTGATGAGCCAGGAGTGATACCTTACCAACCATTATTGAGAGGACAGCGTTATTAGAGTCACATAATAGACCAATCAAAAGAAGACAGAAAGGATGTGATTCCATAGTTAACTGTCATGACAATTTTAAGCAAAAGTTAAGAACTTTTTTTTTTTGCTATTTAAATCAAACTATCACCAAAACTGTGTGGACACCCAACAATTATACCCATATTAATTTGGTACTATAACAAGCATCTGCTCTTCTTTCCTCCAGATTTAGGAGATTTGCCCCCATTCAGCCACAAGAGCATTAGTGAGGCCCAACACTGATGTTGGCTGCTACAGCCTGGCTCAAAGCTGGGGTGCAGTTTCATCCCAGAGGGCTTGAATGGGGTTGAGGTCAGAGCTGTGTTCACACCAGACAAACTTGGAAAGCGTTTCTCTTTGGGCCTGGTTTTGTGTGCAGAGACACTGTCATTTTGAATCAGGACAGGGTCTTCCCCTACCTGCTGCCAAAATGGTGGAAGCAAAAAACAGCCACAAACTAAAGTACACACAGGTATGTGGATGGGGTGTCAAATAGAAAACCATACCATCAGAATGTAATAATGTGATGCTTCATCCCGATTTTTGTCACAATGTATTCAGTGGTGTCCAATATCTTATGTAACTGAAGGAGAGTGTAACCTTGATGCCCTTGGGGTCTGGAGCTTCGGCATCAGACTCTGGACAGGACTCCAGGGATTTGTGAAGATGGTCGATGGCCTCACAGGTGGCATTTTTCACTGCCAGGAGACGGTCCTCAGTCATCCTTCCACCATAAAAGGTCTGGGCCTGTTGGTCTACTGAAAATATGAAGGACTACGGATCAGGATATTTGCATGAATGATAATTTAAATGAGCAAAACATTTAACATATCCAAAGAAAAATAGATGGAATGACAAAAAAAAAAAAACTAAAGGGAAAATGAGAAAGCCACATGTGGAAACAAAATAGTTTTTCAGATTGTTCATATAACTTTTAAAATTTTATGCTTCAAATAAAACTGACATAGCCAAGTCCTGAAAAATAAGAAACAAAACCAGACACTGTCCCAAAAGTAATTCTGCTCAGCCTACCTCCATACATCTGGGTGTATCCCTGGCTCAGCTGGAGCCCCAGGGAGCTACTGGAGGCCTGGTGCTGTGACAGGCCCGGGGCTGGAGGAGAAGGGAGCAGGATAGTGCCTCCCTGTCTGCTGAATGGGTTGACCTGGCCACTAACTTCCTGCTGTTAAATTCACACTGGGACTCTGGGAAAGTGATTTGTACAGTTGATTTATACAGTTGCTATGGTTAGACACACACTTTAATGCATACTGCTCTCCTCATTGTAATTCCAGTTAATTCTGCATATTTATGGTGATAGTTTTTTGTTATTCAAGGTATATCACTTTTTAAAATCTATTGTAAGCAATTACTTACATGACAAATGACTGATATAATTCAGTTCTGTTTTACATTTAAAAACTGGGTTTGATGCATGCTAAAGTGACATTTACAATGATCTGATTAAACAGGGACTGAAGTGACTGAGTAGAATGATCTGTGATTTGAAAACTGTGGAATGAAGGGAAAACTTTAAAACACATATTATTTATGTATATTTTATTGACTAGATAATGAGTTAGTTACCAGGCTGAGAAGCAGCAGTGAGACTCAGAGACTCTAGTGCTTCCTCCAGCTCCTTAACCTGACTCTTCAACCTCTCCCCTTTATCAGGTAGAGCCACCACATTCACCACAGACAGAGTGGCCTTAATGAAAGCAAAAAAATAAAAAACACAAAAGTGAGTAAGATGATGAGGACAAATCTATCAGTAATATTTAAGATAAAAGTAAAAGTAGTACCAGATAGTCTGCCAGATGTTTATTTGTTTAATTAAAAGTGATAAAAAATATTCTCTATGTGGCTGCTGCTGCAACAACCACTCCTAGTTTCCATCAGATCAAAGAGGATGCAGGACTGTCAGGGATTTGTGCTAAAGTGCGACTAATACATCAATATATTTGACGTTATTGGCTGATTTTAGCTTTAGCTTTATCAGACATTTGAAGTATATGTGCTGACAAGTATCAAAGACACTGCAGTGAAGAAATGTGGAGGATATGTTTGAGGAGCACATCTTGATCAGAATTCTTAATAACATTGGCATTAGATTCAAAAATTGAATAGAACAGGCTCTAATCTGTAACATTACAGGGCTCATCTACAAACCCCAATTCCAATGAAGTTGGGACATTGTGTAAAATGTAAATAAAAACAGAATACAATGACTTGCAGATCCTTTTTGACCCATATTTAATTGAATACACCACAAAGACAAGATATTTAATGTTCACACTGATAAACTTTATTGTTTTTTGAAAATATTCACTCATTTTGAATGTGATGCCTGCAACACGTTCCAAAAGAGCTGGGACAGGGATATTTTTACCACTGTGTCACATCACCTTTCCTTTTAACAACACTTATTAAGTGTTTGGGAACTGAGGACACTAACTGTTGAAGCTTTGTCAGTGGAATTCTTTCCAATTCCTTGGCATTGTCCTTCTGAAACAAGCAGGGATGTCCCTGAAAAAGACGTCGCTTGGACGGCAGCATATTTTGCTCCAAACCTGGATGTACTTTTCAGCATTAATGGTGCCTTCACAGATGTGCAGGTTACCCATGGGCACTAACACACCCCCATACCATCACAGTGACTTTGAGCTGATAACAGTCTGGATGGTCCTTTTCCTCTTTAGCCCAAAGGGCACGACGTCCATGATTCCCAAAAACAATTTGAAATGTGGACTCGTCAGACCACAGCACACTTTGCCACTTTGCATCAGTCCATCTCAGATGAGCTCAGGCCCAGAGAAGTCGGTGGTGTTTCTGGGTGTTGTTGATGTACGGCTTTCGCTTTGCACGGTAGAGTTTTAACTTGCACTTGTAGATGTTGTGACGAACTGCGTTAACTAACAGTGGTGTTCTGACTTGTTCCTGAGCCCACGTGGTAATATCCTTCACAGAATGATGTCTGTTTTTAATGCAGTGCCACCTGAGGGATCAAAAGTCATGGGTCATGTGTTGGTTTACTGCCTTGCTGCTTATGAGCAGAGATTTCTCTGGATTCTCTGAATCTTTTGATGATATTATGGACTGTACATGATGAAATCCATAAATTCCTTGTAATTGCACATTGAGAAATGTTGTTCTTAAACTGTTGGACTATTTGCTCATGCAGCTGTTCACAAAGTGGTGAACCGTGCCCCATCCTTGCTTATGAATGACACTCACCTGTTTCCAATAAACGTGTTCACCTGTGGAATGTTCCAAACAGGTGTTTGAGCATTCCTCAACTGTCCCAGTCTTTTGTTGCCCCTGTTCCAGCTGTTTTTGGATGTGTTGCAGGCATGAAATTCAAAATGAGTGAATATTTTTAAAAAAAACAAACAAAAAAAAAACAATAAGGTTTAACAGTTTGAACATTAAATGTCTTGTCAAAAGGGATTTGCATTGTATTCTGTTTTTATTTATGTTTTACACAATGTACCAACTTCATTGGAATTGGGGTTTGTAGGACATGTACGGCTCTGAAGTTCTTAACAAACAATCTGATACTAAACACCAAAAAAGACCAAAGAAATCATCATTGACTTCAGGAAGAGTAGGAAAGACCATGCCCCTCTCTCCATCAACGGAAAGAGCGTGGAGTTGGTCTCCACCTTTAATTTCCTGGGCATCCACGTCTCTGCTCTCATGGAGCACAAACACCAGGACCATCGTGAAAAAGGCTCAGCAGCAGCTGCATTTCCTCTGGGTCCTCAGGAAAAACAATCTGGAGAAAAAAAAACTGTTGCTGGCCTTCTATCACTCGTCCGTGGAGAGTGTCCTAACATACAGTTTGCGTGTGGCATGCTGGCTCCACGGCAGAGGACAGGAAGGCTCTCCTGAGAATGATCTCCACAGCACAAAAGATCATTGGCTGCCCCCTGCCCTCCCTGGAGGATATATCCACATCCCGCTGCCTAAAGAGGTTAAAAAACCATAACTACAGACTCCTCACATCCAGCCGATCACCTGTTTGATCTATTACCCTCCAGGCGGCGTTACAGATCAATCAAATCACATACCACCAGACTCACAAACAGCTTCTTCCCCTGGGCCATTATAACTGCAGACAAACACGGATTCCGATGACAAATGGAGAACAGCTCAGCTAAAAGCCAGCAGTTGCTAAGACAATGCCTGCAGCAATACTATTTAATCAGCATAATAAGCTCAAGTTAAATACACTTGTCACTTTACACTGTAGCATTTTACTGTTTAGTAATTGTTTTTATATCTTTTGCACCTTGTTTTTACTGTTTAGTAACAGTTTTATATCTTTTTGTTTGATGGTCTTTAATTGCACTGTCTTGGTCGAGAGCATACTAATTTCATTGCACATGGCTATGTAATGACAATAAAGTCTATTCTATTCTATTTTATTCTTTACTCACCTTTTTCTGTTTGA